TATATATATTTAGGGTCTGAAGATTATTTTCTTACCCCTTTTTATGACTGCCTAGTGTTTAATAATACAATCACATAGCTGTAATCACTGGAGTTTATTCAGACAATTCCTCCTCTTTTTTTTTTATTGGTTTGCTTACAAAATTCGTATACATGTGTTTCACACTATTCCTCATTCATACTGTGTTTCATACAATCATTCTCATGCATTATGTTTTACAAACTTAATCACCATTGGACTTTGCCCATTCTTACCCTGTCTTTTCACCCAGATCTTTCCCATTTTCTCCCATTACCCTCCATCCAAGAAACTGTAAAACCCTGTGGTTTTGTCCCTACCCATCCTCAGCCCTCCCCACCCTGAGTTCCCGTACATATTTTACTAGTTATCCTTATACAGTATTTGTCCTTACGAGACTGTGTTAGTTCACTCAGCATAGTGCTCTCCAGCTTCTCCCAAGTTACGTAGCATTTTTCGAAATCGTTATTCCTGAGTGCTGTATAGTATTCCATTGTGTGAATATATAGTTTCTCAGTCCATTCGGTTGTGGTTGGACATTTGGGCTGTTTCCATGTTCTTGTGATGGTGAATAATGCTGCTATGAACATTGGTATGCAAATCTCCATTTGTGTCTCTGTTCTAATTTCCTTGGGGCATATTCCTAGTACTGGAATATCTGAGTCATATGGAGTTTCTGTGTTCAACTTTTTGAAGAAATGCCAAACTGTCTTCCAGAGTGGTTGCATCATTTTACAATCCCACCAACACTGCATGACAGTTCCCACCTCTCCACATCCTCTCCAACATTTATTGCCCACTGCCTTGCTAAATTTTGCCACTGCTGCTGCTGGGTTGAGATGCTATCTCATTGTGGTTTTGATTTGCATCTCTCTTATTGCCGGTGATTTTGAGCATTTCTTCATGTATCTGTTGGTCAACCAAATATCTTCCTCTGTGAAAATTCTTTCCATGTCTTTTGCCCAGTTTGTAATTGGGTTATCAGCCTTTTTCTTGTGGAGGCCCAGAAATATTCTGTAAACTTTCATTATGAGACTTTTTTCTGAGGTGGTATTGCCAAGTGTTTGTTCCCAGTCGGCAGGTTTTCTTTTCACCCTGTTTGAAAAAGTTTTTTATGTGTATAGAGATTTAATCTTTAGAAGGTCCTGTTCATGCATTTATCCTCTTTAGATTGTGCATTCCTGGCTGCATTTGGCGGTATCTTTATACCATAGACTAACCCTTCTAAGCTTGGTCCCAGTTTGTCTCTTAGGAACTTTATGGTTTGGGGCTTTACTCTAGGTCTCTGTTCCTTCTTGATGATCGCTTGGATTATTTCTCTCTTTCGTTATTGAGAATAATCGTGTAATGATTCTGTGTAAGTTGTTGTCATGTACTGTTGTGTTGGAACCGACTCATAGCTGACCCTCCAGCAAGTGTTCAGAGACAGTTAACTTTCATTGGAGGAAGTTGTCTACCTTTCTCCCACAGAGCAGCTGGTCGATTTCAGCCGCATGCCTCCCAGTTGGCAGCGCAGCTCCTTACCACTGACCCACTAAGCTCTTTTCTATATAAGCAGTTTTGCCTTTTTGCTAGTGTGTTTTTTGGACTCTATTCCTAGAAGTGGTGCAGGCCCACCTTGTTTGATTGTGGTTTGTTCCATTGTACTTTGCTGATCAGATACTCAGTTGTTTACAAATTTGTTTGTGGCAACCCTGGGTCAAATAAGTGTGTAGGTGCCATTTCCCCAATAGCTTTGTACTCACTTTTTATCTCTGTGTCACATTTTGTTAATCCTAGTAATACTTCAGGCTTTTCTGTAATGCTCTCACACTTTACCGTAAAGCATAAACATAACTTTTATGTTCACTGGAGAACTAAAGAATTGTGTGACTTGCTTTACTGTGGTCTGGAGTTGGATCCACAATATCTTGGAGTTATGTCTGTAATACTAAGTTATTCTTGCTCCCTCCCCCCAATATTCTGCTGTATTCAAAATGCCTTTGGATTTGATTTTTTATTTACTGTGTTTATTTTGTAGTTGTGGAATATGGACTCCTGTTTAAAAGTAGCTGACTGCAGAGGACATTTAAGTTGGGTTCATTCTGTGATGTTTTCTCCGGATGGATCATTATTTCTGACCTCTTCAGATGACCAGACAATCAGGGTGAGATATGCTGAGGTTTTCATTTTCAGCCATTTACTAATAATGATGTCTCCTACAGAGTGAGGAATGCATGAATAGTATTGTTGTTGTTAGGTGCCATTGAGTAGAGTATGACTCATAGTGACCCTGTGAACTAAGGATAAATAGTATTAGAATGAAAACAAGTATCATGTTCATATTAATGTTGAAAAGTACTATGGTCTAAAATCTAACAGTTTCATTTGTTCAGTAAATGTTTCTTGAATCACCATGGAGTAGGTGCTAAAGAAGTCCAATGATATGATTAGATATTATTGTTATGAAAAGAGTCCAGAAGGAAGGCAGAATAGTGGAGTGGACTTGGGGGGAGGGATTGAATAGCAATGAAATAATTTTTTTTTAATTTATTTTTCCAAAAGAAAAGCGACTTGGGGAGGGGAGTGGGCAGGGAGAAAAGTGCAACAATGAATGAATGGAAATCCAAAGTCTCTGTAAACTTTCATTAAAATAAATTTAAAGTGGAAAAAAAGAAGTCCAATGAGTAAAATGCATTTTGGTTAATTTACATATATTACATTTGACACTTCAGAGTAATTTTTGACTCTCCTACCTTGAATTTTCTTATCTAGTTACTTGCTAATTCCAATAGAGTCTGCTTTTGCATTGTCTATCCTTTATCTCTGCCTGGCTGCCTAAATTTAGGTGCTCATTATTATCTGTTGCCTCTATTCTTGCATTAGTTTCTGCCACAGTTGGGTTGTGTTTTTTTTTTTTTACCCTGTTAACTATTCACATGCTGCTGCCAAGATATTTTCTTTATATGCAACACAATTTTGTTATTTTCTTCAAAAGCAGACTATGGCTCCCTATTGCCCACAAAAGTAAGTATGTGCTCCCAAGTCTACCATTTAAGTGCCTCCATAGTATAGCTTTGCTCTGTTCCAGGCTTTTTTCCAAGTTCCTGCAGGCACTGAACACTAAACAACTTCTATTTCCACAAACATCCTTCTGCCTTAGGTTTATATGGCTCATATATACTAAATGCCCTGCCTCCTTGTTGTAATCCTTCTGTGAAATGTTCCCTAATAATTTATAACATTGTCTTAGTGCCTCTTTGCTTTAATGCTGTGTAACTCCATGCTGTCATATTCTTATAATACCTATCAAATTCTGCTAATCCTTAGTTCTAGTGCTTCATAACTCATCTGATTTTTGTTCACATTTAAATCTTAAATTATAAACTTAATGAACCCTGCCTGTATGGTCTCTGTAGTATCTAATACAGTGTTTTCAACAGATCATAGCTAAAATTTATTTACGGTTTATTGTTTTTCAGCCATTGGTGTAAAGTACTGTGTTCATATTACTTTGCTAATTATTACAGCCCTTTTTGTAGCTGAGGTACAGAAATGTAAGTCAGTGTTCATGTGCCATGTCAATGCATTGAGGTCATAACATAGATCAGCACATTGCCTCCTTCAGCAAAAAATCCTGTTTTGGAAAGAAAAAAAAAATAATAACACTCCCTCCCCCCCAAAAAACCCCTGCATCAGTAGGCATACTGTAACAACGTATATGAGTAGTTGATTTAAATTCTTGTGCAGGCTTCTTTATCCTGTTGTGGACCCGTATTAAAAAGATTGAGAAACAAGAGCGGGTCCTCAACTTCCAGTAGCGTCAGGTTAAGTAACTTGTCTAAAGTGACAGCATCAGGTAGAAGTAGGTTTCATCCTGAGCTGTTTTGGTACTCTTTAGTACTAACTGTTTCTTACAATAAAATGTGTTCATGCATACTTACTGAAATGAATTCTAATCCAGTAATTAAAGCATTTTGAGCATTTTTATTGTGAAGCATGACATGTATCTGATTTAAGATTAAAACTTGCCTTTACATTATTTCAGAAGCGTGGATTGCTAGCACACAGTTACTTTACTTTCTTGATCTCTTTAACAGCTCTGGGAGATAGAGAAAGTATGTAAGAACTCGGCTGTAGTATTAAAGCAAGAAGTGGATGTTGTTTTTCATGAGAATGAAGTGATGGTTCTTGCAGTTGACAATATAAAACATCTCCAAGTAAGTATTTTAGGAAACATTTGGAAAAACTGTTTCAGTTGAATTTATTCATAGTTTTCTCACCTGCTTTTGGACTTGGGATCACAGGTAATAGTATCTTAGTAGTATTTAGAAGGTTTCATTGAGTGTATCATATGTAGGTTATTATTAAATGTCTAGATCTTGAGCTGAGCCTCAGCAGTGCTAGTATCTAGAATTAAATTGCATGATAGGTCTTTGCCTCCATCTTCTGTTTGTATCTGTGATCACATTCCTTGACTCTTTGGAGTCTAGGAATACCATGTTCTCAACTTATACTTGTCCCCAATAGCAATATAGACATAGATGATGGAGTTTGCAAAGGGGATGAGCATACCAGTGGAGGCCTTATGATAAATTAGTCTTTCAAAGAACATGTTGTTATTGTTGTTATGTGCCGTCGAGTCGTTTCCGACTCATAGCGACCCTATGCACAACAGCCCTAAACCCTGCTCTACCCTGCGCCAACCGCACCGCCTCTGACACACCCATCCCGATTACCCCAGTCACCAAATCAATCCATCTCATAGAGGGTCTTCCCCTCCTGCATTGTCCCTCAACCCTCCCAAGCATGATGTCCCTCTCCAAGGACCCGTCCCTCCTGGCAACATGTCCAAAGTATGTCAGACGAAGCCCCAGAATCCTTGCCTCCAAGGAGTAGCTTGGTTTAATCCTCTCTAAGATGAATCTGTTTGTTTTCCTGGCAGTCCAGGGTACATTCAGTACCCTTCTCCAGCACCACAGCTCAAAAGCATCCACTCTCCTTCTGTCCTCCCTAGTCATTGTCCAACTCTCTGATGCATAACAAGCGATTGCAAATACCATGACCTGTATCAGGCGCACCTTAGTCTCCAGAGAGACACTGTTGCTCCTGAGTACCTTAGAGAGGTCCCTAACAGCAGACTTTCCCATCACGATACGCTTTTTGATTTCCTGACTGCTGGTGCCAAGAGTGTTGACTGTGGAGCTGAGCAAACTGAAGCTGTGAACACTCTCAATCTCTTCATCATCCATCCTGATGCTGCCAATTGGTCCAGTGGCGAGAATCTTTGTCTTCTTCACATTGAGCCTTAGTCCATACTGAAGGCAAAGAACATAGTCACTTTAAATTATGAAGAAATTGGGCTCACTGAGTCTGAAATGAAAGATGCTGGGTTTCATATACTAAACACCTGTTCATTCACTCATTTACTCACACATTTGTTCAATAACTATTTCCTGAGTTTTAACTCTGGTTCTCTGTTCTTTGAGAATGAAAGGATTACATGGATCCATAAGGATTACTATGGCTCTAAACAGCTGTACTCTAAATATACCCACCATCCATGCTCAAATACTGTATCATAAGGGAGAAGGCATTTCTGTCACTGGCTGAAGAGAATGGAGCCTCATACATTCATTGGCAGAGGAATTGAGGTGTAACCAGAGTGCTCGTTAGAGACAGGATTGGTGAAGCTTCGTCTCACATATTTTAGGCATGTTTCTAGGAGAGGCCGTTTCTTGGAAAGGGATGTCATGTTTGGAAAGATGGAGAGTCAGCGAAATAGAGGAAGACCCTCAGTGAGAAGGGTTGACACACTGACTGGAGCAGCTCTAGTATGTTAGAGATGAAGAGGATGACGCGGGATAGACAGGGTTCAGGTCTGTTTGTTACTGATAGGGTTGCTATGAGTCTATGAGTCATACTTGACTTGATGACACATAACAACAACAAGAACAAGGAGTAGTAACAGAGAGCAGATCCCCTAAGAGGTTTTGCAGTTCTATTTTAAGTTTATAGGATTGTATTTGACACCCTTGGTATGAGCAGTCAGGAAATAAGGAGATACATTACACTGGGAAAATCTGCAGTCAGGGTCCTTTCCAAATTATTGAGGCATAGTGATGTCATTTTGAGGACTAAAGTGCGTCTGATTCAGGCCATAGTCTTTCCAAGACCTGGATAGTGAATAAGGATGACAGAAAAAGAATTGATGCCTTAGAGCTGTGGTGTTGGAAAAGAACACTGAACCATCCTGTGGATGGCCAAGAGAACAAATAGATATGTCTTGAAGAGGGTGCAAATGGAATGCCCTTTGGAGACAAGAATGATGAGGCTTCGCCTCACATACTTTGGACATATTGCTAGGAAGTGCTATTCCTTGGAGAGGGACATGATATTGGGACTGGTGGAAGGTCGGCAAAGTAGAGGAAGACCCTCAACCAGGTCAGTTGACATGGTGACTGCTGTAATGGTCTCTTATGTGTCAGGAAGTGGGAGCACAGGACAGGACTGGGTTCACATCTTTTCTTCATAGAGTCGCACTTGACTCAATGGCAGCTAATGACAACAACAGCCTTGGTACTTGAGGAAAGCATTTTCTATATGGAGATCCAGTGCAATTGGATTGTCATTAGTGTGATAGAAAAGTTCTGGAAGTAGTGAAGGTGTAGAAGTAGTGATAGAGTTCTAGTGACAACAGGTGAAAGCAGATAATCTCATGGAGTGTTGAAGTTCAAATACAAGATAACTGCTTACATAGCCCTCACAGAACACTGAGCAGTGGACTGTTATAGAAATTGTAAGCATGGTGGAATTGAGTGACAGTGACCTGGGGCAGGGAGAGGTGGTAAGAGCAACCTAAAGGAGAAAGGCAGAGTCAGTGTGGTATTTATGTGGGGCTTCTGAGACATTTCCTATTTCTCTGAAGACAGATGTAAGGTTTGAGACAGGCGGAAACCCTGTGATAGGCGGGTGTTAATGAGCCTGTCTATGTATTGCTTCCTACTATATAGATATTATTTTAGGGCCTTTTATTAACTTTTAAAAGAATATGAATATATAAGTTGATTCTGTGCTTGTCAGAGAAGTATATAAAAGTACATTATGCAGGGGAGCTCTGGTGGCCTAGTGGCAAGAAGCTGCACTGCAATCCCAGAGATACACTGTTCGTATCCACCAGATGCTCTGCTGAAGAAGGAGGGGCAATCTCCTACTGTACCAGTCAGATCCGATTTGATGGTACACACCCAAAAATAAAATTTAAAAAAAAAAGTATATTATGCTTCTAGGGAAAAATTTGTGCATGTGATCCATGCATTAGGTTTTCTTGATTTGGTTATTGAAAGGTAGAAGCGTTAAGATAAAAGGGTAAATAGAAGAGGAAAAAAGTGTACACATGGAAGGTGTGGTGAGAGTGGCCTTGTCATATCAAGTTATTTGGTAACTGAAAGGCCTGGTTGGATCTGGCCGTTCCTCAGTAGCTCTCTGGGAGAATCACGATTTACAGCCTTGGAAACACAGTGGAGGGTCGTGATGAGTCAGACCTGACTCTACAAGTAGGTTTGGTGTTTTGTGGGTGTTTTTTGTTTGTTTGGATTTTGTTGGTGGTGGTTTGGGTTTTGGTTTTGGTGTTTTGTGGGTGTTTTTTGTTTGTTTGGATTTTGTTGGTGGTGGTTTGGGTTTTTTTTGTTTGTGTGTTTGTTTTTTGCTTTGTTTTTTATTGATATGCATCCTGGTAGAGAGTAGGACAGAGCCTGACAAGTTCTGAGGCTGCAGAGCTCAGCTTGTTTGTTGGAAACAAATTTTTTTTTTCTTTTTAAAAAAGCAGTGACTTTTCACACCTTTACTATCAACATTCTCTAATGTTGAATAAATTACTGCGCTTCCCTAAGCCTCAGTTGATTTTTTTTTTAAGTTTGATTTGGGGGATTCTTTTACCTTTAAGAAGACCCTCTTTGCCTTTAGTAGTCTGTGAACTGGTTATAGGGTTAAGATAGAATCCAAATTCAGAAGACAGCTGTCTGGGAGAAAGTTGCCTATGGTATGTAGACACTTTTCTATTGTGTGGTTCGTGTCAAGCTGTGAAACACCATCACCTTAGCCTGTTTTATATTTTATAAATTTTATAATCATCCTCTGAGCTCTGATGGTCTAGTAGTAAGAAGCTGCACTGTAATCCCAAAAGCACATCGTTCGAATCCGCCAGCTGCTCCGTGGGAAAAGGATGGGCAAAATCTCCTTCTGTGAGATTTCCTGCCTCTGAAAACCTACTGGAGGGTCAGTTGTTAGTCGTTTCTGACAAACAGTATACAACAACAACAACAACAACAACAGTTATCATCCTATGTACTTTGATTGAGTGATCTAAATGTTTTTCCTGGAATGCACATCAACAGTGGAGATGTGACTACCTCATTACTGGGCTTAGCAGACTGATTCTTCCACTTGGAATATTTTTCACTGCAGCTTTCTTGCCAAGTTCAGTAGCCTCCTGCTTATATTTTATTAAATTTGTGTAGCTTTCCTTTAACAGTTATAGTAACAATGCAACTTGAGTCATTGAAGTACAAAAATATCATTTTGTTCTGTCTTTGGTTGTGGAAGAGTTTAGAGGATAAAATACCAAATAAAAAGTTCCATTTATGTGAACAATTTTTTTTTTAGTCACTAGTTTACAAAGAGGCAGCTCTGATGTCATAATTCACAGTGATCACCCAAAGACAGCGCCTGTCTTGTGTTTTGAGTCCACTAGTGGCTCCGCAAAAGAAAGATGGGCAGTCTGCTGCCATGTGATTGGTTGTTGTATGTGCTGTTGAGGCAGCTAAGACGCTGCTACTTTAGGAACCACAGATCTGAACCTTGTCCTATCCTGTGCCGCTCTCAGGGTCTCTGACCTGCTCGAGTCCATTGTTACACAGTGTCAATCCATCTTGGTGAGGGTCTTCCTCTTTTTTTTACTCTCCCCCTTTCCTTTTCTGCCATGATGTCTGTTGTCAGGAGTTACCAAGGACTGGCCTCTCCTGACAGCATGTCCAAAGTATGTGAGAATGTGATTTACACCTTCCAGAAACCCAGAGGAGGGTCACCGATGAGTCCCTTTCGACTCTATAGCATTGAGTTTGAAGGTTTTTAATTTTACAAATGTCTCTGGAAATTGACTTTTGAGGGAACAAAGCTATTTGAGTTTTAGTTGTTCTGCCTTTTAGAATAAGGCTTAGTGGTGAGGAGTGCACTGCCAAGCCAAAGGTCCACAGTTCAAATCCATTAGCTGCTCTGTGGGAGAAAGATAGGAAGCCTCCTCCCATATGATTTAAAGCTTCTGAAAACTGCCTCGAGGGTCAGTTGAGGTGGTTCCTACTTGATGGCACATAACAACAACATCATGATAGAGCAGAACATACTGGATAAAATACTGTAGAGGAGAATCTTCTTGATTGTCCTAATAATTTTTTGTACGTGAAACAGAGGTGACTACTTGTTTCATGTTGAAAATTAATTCAAGGTTTTTAGATTGTATAAAACAACTATGATCTCACCCCAGAAGCAATAGCAGAGTTTAACAGGGCAGCAAACAACAAATGCTGGAGAGATTGGAACACTTATTCACTGGTGCTGGGCATGTAAAATGGTATTGCCAACTATGGAAGGCAGTCTCGCACTTTCTCAAAAAGTTGGAAATAGAAATACCATTTCTGCTACTAGGAGTATACCCTAAAGAAACCAGAGCCACAGCTCAAACAGATGGATACACACCTATGTTTATTTCAGCATTATTCACAATAACAGGGACATTGAAGCAACTTAAAGCCTATCAACAAACGAATGGATAGAAAAACTATTGAACATTTACACAATGAAATATTACGCAGTTGAAAAACAATGAACTCCTAATACATTACACAACATGGGTGAGCCTGGAAGACATTATGCTGAGTGAAATATCTCATTCACAAAAGAACACTGCATAACACCACTGTTATAAAATAGGACTGACATGACGGGTTGTGGGGATAAGAGGAAAAGAGTGCATAATGAGCACTGCATTGGAATAGATGAAGGGAAGAACTGTCTGAGGAGATTATATGATTGGACATTATACATATGACAACAGTCTGGAGCAGGAGGTGCATTGCAGAGTGGACTAGGGGAGGGAAAAGAGAGGAAAAGGAAAGACAATGTGCAACAATGAATGAATAAAAAAGGGAAAAATAATAAATTGTCCCAAGCTTCTGATTTTTTTTTATTTTGATGAAAATTTATAAAGAACTTGGATTTCCATTCTTTCATTGTTGCACATTTTCCTCCCTGAAGCTTCCTAATTCTAAAAAAAAAAATTCTTTTTTAGGTTGTAACACTGAGTTATAGAGTAGTATCTGACAATGATTTCAGCTTCAGCAGACTTGGAGGTTTTTTTTTCTATTTTAGTGAAGGTTTAGGAAGAGATTGGTTTTCATTCATTGTGATGCTTGTCCTGTTCCAGACTATTAATTGTCACACACTTATTTTCTAATAGTCCATTCCATTCAGAGTGTCCTTCCTTTCACCCATTCCAATGCAGTGTTCATTATCTGTCCATTCTTTTCTTGCTCTTCTCTCCACCCCTCATCTTGATCCTATTATTATAATAGTGGGCTTATTCCTTCGGCATGTCTTCCAGACTTATCCACATTGTGTAGTTGCAGAAGGAGTAGTTACAACATACGGGTAGTCAGTTACCTGCTTCATAAAGGGGAACTCTCCCCATCAGTAATGTCCATAGCAGTATATAGATCGCTACTCGGTCAGACATTCCACCTCACCTGCTCCTGCACCTCTTTCTACTAATCATTCAGGTCTCATAATCCTTGTTTCCTCACAGTTGTGGTACTGAGAGTGGAGTTCATTAGGAAAATAGGTTTGGGAGTGGAGGAGCCAAAGAATGTCATCCAATGTAAATCCAGGTTTAGCCCAGCAATCTCAAGCCAGATTAACAGCAAAACACAATTCCTCAATTAGTGAAAGTCCTGATTTTAGTTCAATGCCACAAATTCAAAAAGCCTCTTGTTTCCTTAATCATCCAAAAGGGTTTGTTTCAGAGCAAGTCAGCTTTTCTTTCAGTCATCCAACAAGCAAAAGCTTTTACTGTGACTTTTATCTCAGGTTTACTCTGGCTTCAGTCTCTCTTTCTCCATCACTTTCGCCAGGGTCTTGTTCTACAGTGTGGAAAGCACTCTCTAGCTTATAAAATTAGTCCCACAGCTATTGATGATTTGCAAGACCGTATGTCCATGTTAAGGTAGCTGAAGACCAGGGGGACCTAATGTAATGGCTAGAAAAGCCAACTTTTAGACTAATGCCACAGTAATGTTTTGTGAATTCATTGTTTTCAATGCTGTATAGTATTCTGTTGTGTGAATGTACCATAGGTTTTCTATCCACTCAATTGTTGATGGGCACTTAGGCAATTTCCATTTCTTTGCTGTTGTAATTAATGCTGGGAGTAACATGAGTGTGCATGTATCTCTGTTTCAGCTCTGATTTATTTTGGGTATATTCCTAGTAGTGGGACAGCTGGGTCAACTAGTACTTCTAACCTTTTTTTGTAATTTAAAGTAAAATTTTTATTTTATATTGATTTACTTAAAAAGTTCATATATGTTGTTTTTCTCTCTGGATATTTCACATTTCCTTTACCCACAACTCCCCCACCCATCAAAATTGTGCAACCCCATGATTAACACCCCCCTCCATTGGATCCTCATACACGCTCTACAATAATGGTCTTACTCTGTATTTGTCCTTATGGGACTGAATTATTTCACTTATTGTAATGCTCTCCAGTTCCTTCCAAGTTAGGTAGTAATTTACAAAATCATTGCTCCTGCATGTGGTATAGTATTCAATCGTGTGACTGCACCATAATTTCTCAATCCATTCAATTGTGGTTGGATATTTTGACTGTTTCATTGTTCTTGCAGTGGTCAATAATGTTGCTGTGAACATTGGTGTACAAGTCTCCATTTGTGTCTCAGTTCTCATTTTCTCAGGGTATATTCCAAGCAATGGAACAGTTGGGTCACATGTTATTTCTAACTTTTTGAGGAAGTATCACATCCCTCCATAGTGGTTATATCATGTTACAGTCCCACCTGCAGAAGTATTTTTGCATCTTCCATGTATGAGTTGAGTAATAAAGTAGCTGCTTTTATAATTGTTGTTGTTGTGAGCTGTCAGGTTATAACTGACCCATAGCTGACCCTCCAGTGGGTTTTCAGAGACCGTAAATTTCATGGGAGGAGATTACTCATCTTTCTTGGAGATTATCCATCTTTCTCCCGTGGAGCAGCTAATGGATTAAAACTGTGTGCTTTTGGGATTTCAGCACAACTTTTTACTAGACCACCAGAGCTCCCTTCTGCTTTAATTACTTGTTATATACCATCTAGTTACCTGTAACTCATAGTGGCCTTATGTACAACAGCTCTGAACTCCACCCTATCTTGAGCCAGTCTCACTGTGTCTGACACACCTACCCCCATTACCACAGTTACTGTGCCAATCTGTCTTAAAAAAAAAAAAGGAATTAACATTGGCACCAGTTATGAAGGTGGCCTAGTGGCAAGAAGCTGCACTGCATTCCCAAAAGCATACGATTTCAGACAACCAGCCCCTCCGTGGGAGAAGAGGAGCAATCACCTCCCGTGTGATTAACTGTCTCTCTAGGCTGGTTTCTACTCTACGGTACACAACAACAACAACAACAACCGATTATGAAAAAATAATTTTACCCAAAAACCCAACCCAGAGGCATTGAGTTAATTCCTAATCTTAGATACACTATTCATGGAAACACTCTGTCAGGTTTCTGAGGGTGTAAATCTTTATGGGAGGAAACTACCCATCTTTCTGCTGAGCAGTTTGTATATTTAAGCTGTGGACCTTCTGGTTAGTAGTAAAGCATGCAATGCACTACACCATCAGAGCTTCTTAATCTTAGGTTAGGCATTTTAAATTCACAAATCAAAATGATGCTTATGGACACTATGCCAATACTTCTCCACACTCAGAAGAAAAAAGAAGAATCTTAACTCTGTTATTTGAGTTATTTGGGAGACATAAAACTCATTTAAATTTGGATTTGAATTTTTATAGAATGTCTGTCTCAGTCTAATTTCACTAGCCCTTTTGAAAAAATAGCAGCAGTATATTTTAACAAATGATAACCTTCTTAAAATAGATTTTGTGAAGAAATGGAAAAAGGGTGTGGAGCTAGCAGTGGGATTACAAATCAGACAGATGTGTCTCAGGTGGTGGGCATCGCAGCTGCTTTTTAAAACCTTTTAAAGCTCGTTTTATTTTATGAAAATGTATTCGTATTACAAAAGTGAAGTAAAATGAAAGCATGAAGTGTTAAATGGAACTGCGGAGACTAGGATAGGATTTTGTTGCTCCCCTGGGAGCTCTTGTTGCTTATTTCCTTTTATATTATTTTTTCACTTGCTGCCTCTGTTGTAAAGAATAAAAGCTTCTCTTATAGACTAATAACCGATTGTACCTTCTTTTTCATTAGCTCATTAATGGAAAAACAGGTCAGATCGATTATCTGACTGAAGCTCAAGTTAGTTGCTGTTGTTTAAGTCCACACCTTGAGTATGTTGCATTTGGAGATGAAGATGGGGCCATTAAGGTATTCATTTCTAGTCTTTAAAGTCATTCCGTGTAATATAATTAAAATTGATTCTGTGTCTGGTATTGTACACTTAGATACAAAACTAGTCTGTATCTGATGTGCTAGTCATTATTCTTTTACACTGTAGACAATCTTATAATGCAGTTGGTTGTATGTTTTTTGAATTGACTTTGCTCCTGTTGTGCGTTCCTGTGTGTGTGTGTGTGTGTGTGTGTGTGTGTGTGTGTGTTCTTTGGTCTCTGCTTGTGTTGCTTTTCTCTAAATGTATCAAATACTATCTATCTGAGACTTAGCTAACTAGGCAAAAGGCATTTCTTCCTACCTGTAGAAGCTCAGAACCTTATCATACCCTGTGTCATCCTTACCATCTCTGCCATGCTAGAACCTATCATTAGAGTCACTGTGTCAAATCCAAGATGCTGGTCTCCTCTTCATAGGGTTCTATGAGTTGTAGTTAGCTCGAGAACACCTAACAACTTAGAAGCCCAACCATTTAGGGTTATAGATTACTTGCATTTTTGGTACCAAGATTCATTGGGAGTATCAGTGCTAGGTTGTCTTCCTGTTTGACCACCCCTTGCTGTTCTACTTTTGGTATTAGGAGTATGCTTTTTCACCACCTGAAATGCTTCACTTATTTAAAGAAGATCCATAATTAAAATCAAGTTGTAAGGCAAAAAGGATAGTAAAATAAAAATATTTTTGGTTAAATATATTCTGTAATTCATAAAAAATGTAGAAAAAAATCACCTCAAAATAACATACAAACGCACAAAGTACAGAAGCATGTTTTTCTGTAACTGCACTCGTTTGTCAAAGAGCATAGTTTCCTCCTTCGCTTTGTCTTACCAAAGTAGTTAGAGCTATTTATGAATTCTTTAGTTGTGGCTCTAGCTATGGTGATTTTGAATCCATTTTTAGGAGAAATGGCACCTCTTGCCCATGAAGAGGAGAAGTGAAGCACTTGATGCTTTACACGGTGAAGAATGAAGCATTTGGAAAGAGATGCCAGTGCTGCTATTTACCAGGGCTGTTGTAGCATGAATTTACCGTAAAGGCTTTGGGTTTTATTCAATACTGGGAAAAAATATTTGTATTTAGATTGAATACTTTTCTAAAAAGATAGAGCTCTTTGTGATGTTTGTTACTCAAAGGATGATAATATTTCTTTCTCAGTCTTCTCTTTCAAACTCTTGCTATTTTTTGTTTTGTTTTTAAATCTTTTTTAAAAATTTGTTTTCATTTAATAATTTATATACATTATGCTTATTCATGTACATTCTGTCTTTTATTCTTTCATGTCTGTTGTGCTTCATACAATCATTCATACATACTATATTTTATATAATTAAATACTATTGATCTGTGCTTGTGAAGTTGACTTGTTCTTTGCTAGATCTCCAGTTTGCACTTGGTTACTCTTTGGGTCCTTGGGTGAAAAGCCTACCTTATCTTGGGTTCATCTCTCTTGGAAGCAACAGGCCACACACATGCAATCTCACAGACTCTACAAGCCAACTTCACAGGACTTCTTGTATTCCTAAATCAGGCCTGCTCTGATGAAGCAAGCTTCCCTTAAGCTGACTGGCTGGTCATAACAAATACCATAGAAGGAATGGTAACACTATATCAAATCTTATTACCATATTACCACTTTTCTTCATTTTTTTGTTGGTTTATGTCTCTTAAACCTTCATAGTGTGCTGACTCCCATTTCCTTTGCCATTCTTTATTTTCCCTTGTCTCTGTATTGTTATATAAAGAGCTTGTCTTATCTCACGCAAGATTTTTTTCCCCTTTCTTTCTTCTCTCCATTTCAAACGTCGTTGTAATTGGAGACTGAGCGTACACTACCACTTCTTTGATCAGTTGGGTAGTTGAGTACTCAGAATGTTCCTGCAGACATCAGGTCACCCCAGTGAATTAATTGGAGACTGAGCGTACACTAGCACTTCTTTGATCAGTTGGGTAGTTGAGTACTCAGAATGTTCCTGCAGACATCAGGTCACCCCGGTGAATTATTTAAGGCTATGTGTTTGTGCAGATACACATGTTTGTCTGTAGTACTTTTTTATGTTCTCTAGGAAAGCTATAAAAACTATGAAAAGAAAATTGTGTACCTTTCCATAGTTTGTTGTTGTTGTTGTTATGTGCCATCGAGTCGCTTGCGACTCATAGCAACCCTATGTGCAAGAGCCCTAAACGCTGTCCTATCCTGTGCCAACCTAGCCATCTCAAACACACTCATTCCCACCACTCTACTCACAGAATCGATCCATTTCATCAAGGGTCTTCCTCTCCTGCACCGTCCCTCCACTCTCCCAAACTTGATGTACCTCTCCAAGGACCAATACCTCCTTGCAACATGCCCAAAGTATGTCAGACGAAGCCTCAGAAACCTTGACTCCAGGGAACATTCTGGCTTCACCCTCTCCAGGACCAACCTGTTTGTTCTCCTGGCAGTCCATGGTATAGTCAACACTCTTCTCCAGCACCACAACTCAAAGGCATCAATTCTCTTTCTATCATCCCTATTCACTGTCCAACTCTTCGATACATAGCATATAATTGTGAAGACTGTAGCCTGGATCAGGCGCACCTTAGTCTCCAGCCTGACGTCATTGCTCCTCAGTACTCTTGAGAGGTCCCTTACAGCTGTCTTTCCCAATGCAATTTGTCTCCTGATTTCCTGGCTGCTGTTACCAAGAGTGTTGACTATGGAACCAAATAAACTAAAACTGTTAACTATCTCAATCTCTTCACTGTCCACACTGATGCTGCCAGTTGGCCCAGTGGTGAGAATCTTTGTTTTCTTGATGTTGAGCTTCAATCCATATTGAAGGCTGCAGTCCTTGACCTCTGCAGTAAGTGCTTTAGGTTCTTCTCAGTTTCAGCAAGCAGGGTTGTATCATCTGCATAACATAGGTTGTTGATGATTCTTCTGCCAATCCTGATGCCACATTCCTCCTCGTACAGCCCATAGTTTAGTTTTAGTTTAATATCTTTAGAGGAGTAATGCCTAGGTGATGGTGAACTTCTTGTATTAATGTTCTGTGGTTTTCTGCTTTGGAGATTTTAGAACTTCTAAATGGCAAAATCTTCCAGTCCAGGATTGGACACAAGAAGGCTGTACGGCACATTCAGTTCACAGCAGATGGGGAGACTCTTGTTTCAAGCTCTGATGATTCTGCAATTCAGGTAAGAAGGAGCAGTGGCCCCCAGCATATGTAATGCTGACTCTGGCAAAGGGTACCTAGGGCATAGCTCTAATCTGTTGGATTTAAAAAAATGGAATTCTTTAAGGTCATCCTACCTCAGGCGTACATGGGCAGTATATCCATCGTCTTAGATGAAGCCGATTTGTATTTCTTCATTTTCTAAAAGGAAATGGGGTGAAGCAGACATTTTGACTTAGAACTACTTAGTGGGAAGTTGCTTATTTTTAAAATAAAAGGTTCAATTGCAATTTCTTACCTGCCATAGAATTTACATCAATTAATTTCCCTCTCCATTCATAAAATTTCTTATTTTTCTTTATGTCTATAAAATCCGGTTAAAGTGATTTTGTTCTTTCAAGAAAAAAAAAGTTTATTACAGGGATGAAATCCTACGGGAAAAAGCATGTATCTTAATGGAGTTTTGCATATATAGAGGGAGTAAGCTTTTTGTTGTTGTTATGTGCCATCGAGTCACCTGTGACTCATAGGGACTCTGTGTACAGCAGCTCTGAAGCCTCCCCTGTCCTGAGCCAGTCTCACTGATTCCAGCACACCTACCCCTATTGCCCCAGTTACTGTATCAATCCAATTAATCTGGAAATTTCCTCTCTTGCCCTGTTCCTCCACCCTTCCGAGCATGATATCCTCCAAGGACTGGTCTCTCCTGGCCTCGTGCCCAAAATATGTGAGATGGAGCTTCAAAATCTTAGTCTTCATGGAGCAACTTGGTTTTACCCGCTCCAAGACAGATCTATTTGTTTTCTTACTAAAAAAAAAAAGTTTTAGTGCCAATACTTATAAATTTTTTGAGGTTTATTATAAAAAATAAACACCCTCTTCATTTTGCTTTTATGTGTTTCTTTTTTATGTTTACCTTTTTTCTTCCATATTGCATACTTATGATGCCAATTCGTGTTTTTCCCACACGAAGCATTACTTGCTAACATCTCTATAGGATGATGAGGATTTTGCCCTCTTTCACCTTTCATGTATACTACAGTATATGCACCTGTCTTTACACACATGCTCATCTGTCAACCTCCAGTGTCCCTATCCACTTATACTTTTGATTAAATCATTACTTAATGTCATTATAATAAATAGATGCTGTTCAAAGGAGCCCCTTATGGCACAGTGGTTAAGTGCTTGGCTGTTAAAAGGTCAGCAGTTTGAGCCCATTAGCCAGGGCTGGGGTTTTAGATGCTGTTCCATCTAAAGTTAAGAGTCGTGTTGGCAGGTGATGTTGAGTCAGCTGTAACTCAAGGTGCCTCTGACTGACGGCTCAGACTCTGCCCTCACAATCTCTGCTGTGCTTTAAGCCCATTGTTGTAGTCACAGTGTCATTCCATCTTCTTGAGGGGTTTTCTGTCCTTCTCTGACTCTGCTTTTCCAAGCATGCTCATCTTTCCCAGGGTCTGGTCCTCCCTAATAACATGACCAAAGTGTATGAGACAAATCTCACTATACTTGCCTCTAAGGAGCATCCTGATAGCACTTCTTCCATGACTGATTTAATTGTTCTTTTAGCAGCCCATGGTATAGTCAGTACTCTTCTACACCTCCACAATTCCAAGGTATCAATTCTTCTTTCAACCATAACTCACACTCATTTGCATCAAATCAGAACCAACTCGCTGCAGACCCTCCAGCATGTTTTCAGAGGCTCTTTCTCCTGCAGAGATTTGTGAATTTGAACTTTCAAAGAGACACCACCTTTGAGTTCGCAGCTCACCTCCCCAGAGACTACATCACCAGACTTTTGGTCTTTTTTATTCATCATCCAACTTTCATATACAAATAAAGCTATTGAAAATGCCTTGTCTTGGTTTAGATGCACTTTGCCTTTAAGTGGACGTCCTTGCTTTATAGGACTTTAAATGTAATGAACATGTTATTTGATTTTTAAGGTGATTCTCTAGTCAGTGCCTATGTTGTTTGATTTCTTGACTGCTTCCATTCATTATTGGAACACAATACGTTGGATGTTGATTATGGAACCAAGATTAAATCCTTGACCACTTCAGTCTTTTCTTCATCTATCATGATGTTGCTTTTTGGTGCAGTTGTGAAGATTTTTGTTTTCTTTATTTGAATTGCAATCTACACTGAAGACTGTAGTCTTTGAACTTCAGGAAAAATTTCAATTATTCTTCAGTTTCAGGAAGAGAGATATTGTTATCTGCATATTCCAGGTTACTGATGAGTCTTCCTTCAATCCTGATGCCATTTTCTTTTTCATAGAGTCCAGCCTCTTGGATTTGTTAATCATAAATGTTGAGTAAATATTGTGAAATGATAAAAGCCCTAACACTTATCTTTCCTAATTTTAAATCATGCAGTTTCCTGATTTTCCATTAAAATGACTGTTACTTAGCACATATATAGATTCTGCACAGTTAAGTCTGGAGTGTGTATGAAGTCTTTTCCTGCTTTAATGAAATTTAAGGAAATTATACACTTGCACTAAATTTGGCCAGCGTTGTAATTTATTTTACCCTAAAATTTACAAGACATTGTTCCATTTTCTTTGAGGTACCAGAATTTATTCTGTCTGAGAAATCTGAAGACATTTCAATTCTTAATCTTTGGAATATTGTAAAATCTTTCCTTTGTTCATAGAATTTTGAAATGTCTTTTGATAGACCACAATGTTGTTGTCTCTCCACCCCCCTTCCCATCTATTATTTTGAATATTCCATATACTGTCTCAACTTAGAAACAAACACTTTTTTCCAATTCAAGGAAGTTTTCTGGAATTCTTATTTCTTCGATTCTTTAAAAATCTGCTTTTTCTTTCTTAACATCCATTATCCAGATCTTTTGAACTGGATGTCATGTTTTCTCTTCAACATTTCCTCTGTTTTGTGTTGTACTTTAGTGCTTGAGTATTTTCCTTAGCTTTAAATTTCAACCTTTTTATTGGCTTTTTAACTTTTGCCTTTGCATTTGTAATACTAAAGAGATTATTTTTCTTTCTTTCTAAGATCACTGTGTTGTGTTTCATGAACTCTTCTCTGAGAACAGATGAGTAGGTATATATCGTTTTGTGGAGCAGCGAGAAGTCCATTTTTCATTTCCTTTTATATTTACCATCCCCTCTAAGTTGCTTTTTCTATTTGGTTATTTTGTCTTCTCTTTCTTTAAAGGTCTTTGGCTGTGTAGTAATCATTGCCTACTAGAGAGGGCCTGATTAAAAACTAATTGTTGACTGAGCCCTCTGAAAGGACACGTGGCTGTAGACCTTTTTTGGTTGGTTTCTTTAGGTCTTTGGCTTGGTCTGGTGAAGGCTAAAAAGGATCTTCTATAGTCTCCTAGAACATGGGGTTCTAGAGCTAAGTGGGGCAAAGAAAACGAGGAATAGTTGTAACTTAGGTATCTAAATATTCTTGATTTTTTTAAAAATAATTTTTGGATTTCCATTCATTCATTGCTGCACTTTTCTCCCTGTCCAGCCCTCTCCCTCCACCCCCAGTTCAATCCTCTCTTTCAAAAGTAAAAGAAAGACTCCCTCCCTGGTACACAATCCCCCCACACCCCTCCCACCACCTCAAGTACATTCTACTATGCAACCTTAATTGTGGACTCTTGTGATAACCATAATACCCTATCATGCATCGCTTTTAAATTATTCAGTCCCTCATCTGTTTCAGTGCAGTATACACAATTTATCCAGTTTTTCTCAGTCTTACCCCCACCCTGATATCAGTCCCATTTTACAGCAGTGGCACCATG